ATACATGCCTCAACACATTCGCTGTCAAACTTGAGCGCCATCGTCGCGTTACAGTTTTCAAAAAAATAGCCTGCCAGCGAGTGTGTTAAAATGATTTAAAATTATTTATCATTAATATCTCCGAAAAAAAAGAAAATTGTACTTCGCTGTAATTATCCTCCGATGTTTTGTTGAACTCCAGGTTAATTGTCCCCTGCACGTCCAGCGAGGGGAATAGGGAAGGGGGGCTTTAAAATGGCCAACGTGGCACGATTCTGGCGTACAGACATGGCACATACAGAAGAACAATTGGCTAAGGAACTACGTCACACACCTTTGTAGATAGGGTGCCTCGATAACTCGAGACACACTGAATTAACTTAGTTTTGATTGCCGTCACAAAAAGAACGGTCTTTTAAATTTTCGAGTCAGGAATATCCTGCGGGCAAATAGAACGCTGCACTGCAGCGAGGCCAAGTGTTTAAGGGCCTAAGTGACCCTTAGAGATAAGGTCCGAATTACAGACAACACAAATTATGTACACTGAAGAACAGACAGAATCACCACTCAAACGACAGGTAAGACAGAGACACATAAACATACACACGGTTTACGAATTTCAGATTGGACACATACATAGAAGAAAATGAACATCAATTTTGCTTAGATTCTTTTCGATACGGGACCAGTTCTTGGCTACTTACTGGCCCAATTAATTTACCTAATTTATGAGGCTGCCTGCTGGGCGGCCGGCGCCGCAGCTTTGACTTCCTTTTCCTCTCCCTTCTTTCCTCCCTTACCCTTCTTCTCTTCCTTTTTCTCCTCCTTCTTTTCTTCCTTCTTGTCTTCCTTCTTCTCCTCCTTCTTTTCCTCACCCTTCTCCTCCTTGATGTCCTTTACTTCCTCGCCGTCCTCCTTGCCCTCCTTCTTGTCCTTGCGTGTTGGGCAGTCTGCGATTAGGTGGTCCTCAGACTTGCAGTGGTGGCAGCGTTTGGGCTGGGGGCCCATGGTGCACTTCGCCGCGATGTGATTGGCGAATTCTCCGCAATTGTAACACCTGCTTGACGAACACGAAATGTGTTAGATTTTCCATTAAAATCATGTATTGTAAGACCAGATCCACCAAATATTTAAATAATCCGTTTCGAACCGCAACTCACCTGATTTTCCGGAACCGTTTCTTTGCCGCAGGTCGGCGATGTGAGCCCTGGCAGTCAGCACCGTCGGGGCCAGTAACCACGGTGGCCTCCAGACCCTTGTCGGACACCTTGCACTCGAACTCAACCTCCTCGTCATCCCCCAGCGAGCGGAAGCCTGACATCTGCACCACGCTCTGCAAAGAGAAAGGGACATGTTTAATGGTTAGGCCCTCAGTGGCACCCCGGCGCCGCGATTCAAAACTTGGCGCGCGGAACTGTTTACAGCGCGCAACCCTCTCCCCGGCCCGTCACGACCAGGTGGACTCCCTGTGAAGTGGACCGACAGGGGGTAGCTCGCGTGGCGCCCCCTGGCCGGGCCGGGCCTGGACGGGACATGCGCAGAGCACCCCCTCGAGCTGCCCGGGGATCGCTAGCCCCCCAGCCCCTTTCCCCCCCTTTCCCGCCCGGGATCCGAGCAAAGCCACGCGGGGGCGAGGAGCCCCTGCCGCCGCCCCCTGCCGGTGAACTCTGGAACCCCCCGCCCGGGTAAAACGCCATACGCTGTGCCCACGACTACCGCCACTTTTAAACCGAGTACTGTACCCACTAGCTGAAGCAGAAAGCCCCAACGCCCCGAGTATCCACACCCGGCATGTTGAACCCACCAAGCGGGTGCTGTGGACGCTGTGGACCCAGGCTTTGCTTTGTTCGTCCTGGAGAAGCGCACACAATAAAAACAAGAGTGGCAAGGTACTCACCTGGTGGACGAAGATGTCTTGTCCGCCGTCATCGGGGGAGATGAAGCCCCAGCCCTTGGCCACGTTGAACCACTTGCACCTGCCCCGCCGCTTCTCCGCACCGACTCCCTCGTCGGCGCCGACGGAAGCTGCTCCCGGGGACCCTGCGGAAGAGACAGACAAACATGAGCACGGGTGTCACACGCACGAGGCAATGGAGTCGCGGGGCCGCGCCGGGCGGCAACCGGTGGCCGCCTTGGCACGGCCCCGGGTCCCGGCCAGCCCGCCAACGCCCGCTCCAGCGAGGCCCGCGATGGCGGTGGCGCGCGCGGCCGCCCGGCCCGGCCCGGCCTCGTCGAAGCCGTATGAATAATTGATGGTCGGACAATAGGGGAAGTGCGGCGCACGACCCGGAGGCCGGGCGCGACCTTGGGGGTGGCAGGCCAGCAGCGGCCGGCAGCGACTCACACTTGGACAGGCGCGACTGGCTCAGGAACATCCTGGGGACGAAGGGGCGCGCGCCGGGCCGGCACGCTGGCAGGGGCCGTCAGGGGCGAGATGCGGACTGGGGCGCCCCCAGGCGACGCCGTGACAGACGACGGCACGGCGCGGGACGGCAGCCCAGGATGCGACCCCCACTCACTGAGACACGCCCCCTGAATTCATCCTCGATCGGTCAGGCCCGCCTTTCCGACAACGAGCATCTCATTGGGGACGGTAAACAACACAGGTGGCTCGGCTCGGCTCGGGCTGGGTCAAACCGGGCGGCCCGGGAGGGGGTGGGGCACGACCATGGGGCCGGGCGGGAGGTGGGGAGGGGTGGTGGACGACGGGTGGCCAGGGGTTGGCAGCGGGGTTGGCAGGAGGTTGACAGAGGGTGGCAAGAGGGTTGGCAGGGCACGCGCCCTGGAGCTACGCTACGCGCGCGTGGACGCGCCACCATCACTTACTCTCATCGCCATCTCCTTCTCCCTCGTCCTCGTCATCCTCTTCCTCTGCCTCTTCCTCCACGTCGTCCTCCTCCTCCTCCTCGTCCTCGTCGCCGTCATCGCCGTCGTCCTCCTCCTCGTCCTCCTCGTGCCGCTCCTTTTTCTTCTCCTCCTTGTCCGTCATGGCTGCCATATGTCCGTCCGCGCACAGGAATATACGACGGGCCGACGGCGCCACGCGAAGGCACGCCAACGACGCCCAGGCGACGCTGCCGCCACTCAGCGCTCGCGCCGCTCACCGGAAGGCCGCCGCCGAGGTTCGAACCTCGCCACGGCGCGCCAGACTGAACCTCTATGGCGCTTATGGGCTGCGCGGGCTGCGCCTGGCGGGCCTATGGCGGGCCAGTGCGGCCCATGATCCAGGCAGCGCGCGCCGCTGTAGCCACCGCTGCTGCCGCCGCCGCTGCTGCACCCGCACTACGCCGCGCCACGAACCACCCGCGCCACAAGATGTCGGCCCGGTGCTTTGACGCGGGTAGCGCGCCCTGCGTTGCGCCCTGCCGCCTGCCGCCCTTCGCAACCGCTGCGCGCCGACCGTTCGCGCCCGAGCTGCACGCCAGCGCTGCTCAAAACGTACCAGATTTGTCGGGGTTGGTCGAGTCGCTGGGCGCGCTGCTGGCGCTGCTGCAGCCTGGCCGGACACTTGTGGAAGCCATCTTGGTATCGATTGTAAACAAGACATTCATCAGGCTCGTCCAATGGGAGCGCGCGGCCTGGGCAGGGCTGGCAGCGGGCCCGCTGCCCGTGCGCTAGCTGCGCGCCACGGCCCCCTCGACCCCGCGGTGGGGCTCGGCGCAGCGGGGGGATGCGAGCATGGCGCCCCCCCTCGGTGGCGCCGGGCCCTTGCCCGCCCACACCCACCCCGCCAGCCAGGCTACAGCCAGGTCCCCGTGGTCCCCGTCGTGCTCTACCGGGCTTGCGCGGGAAACGCGACTAGACTTCGGCTCCCCTCTCCCAGGCTTCGGTTCTACTCGCGAAGCTGCGCCCTGGGGGGAGAGGGGCGGGGGTGGCGGTATAGGGCCCAGCGGGCCGCTGCCCCCTCCACCCCCCGGCTTGGCGCGACCCGGCCCGGCCACGCCACCCCACTGTGGGCCCCCACTCCGGGCCGCTTGCGCCCCCTGGACTCCCCCGGCCCCACCTGGCCCGGCCCCACCCGTCTCTCCTTCCTGCGAGACCAAACAGACCCCCTCCCCCCTGTCCTGGATCTATTTTCGCGTACAGAGGGTGACATGGTCTGGTGCACCGGTCAAGCTTCTGGACCGACTGGTAGGTGCTCAGCGCAGGTCGCAGGTCCACGGCGCAACGCCAGTCAGATGCTCCGTCGTGCAGACTCATCGCCAAAAAATTGTTTCAGAAGTGTCCAAGGCGGACCGCAGAGACTGCGCCCCCTCTCCCTCGCCCGCACTCGTGAGGCTGATGCCTCCCATGCCCAGCGCAGCCTGCTGGCGTGCTGTGCCGCACAACAGGAGTGCGGGCGGGCGGCCTACCCGCACGGGGTTTGCAGGGCAATCCTGCAAGTTCCCCGACCGGGGCAGGGCGGCTGGCGCCCCCCTCATCCACACCGTGCTCGCTCTCGTGCCCGCCCCCGTTCCATCATTTTCCGACGATGGGGACATCGCGGCCGCGACAGGAGAGCGAAGGCCTGGAAGGAGAGCGGCCTTGGGGCAGCAGCTGACGGCTCCCCACTTCACCCAGCTCCTCCCCCCCCCCCCCCCCCCCCGAAAAAGAAAAAGAACCTCCGACGTCCCAAGCGAGCGTTTTCCGCAAAATTCTGCGACTATTCAGCTAGAGGACAATACTGTCTGTCCGCTGCAAAGCGAAGCGTGAAGCAGCCGGTAATCCCCCTGCCGCCCCCTCCCCCAGGGCAGCCTCCCTCCGTGGCGCGCCTCAAGGACGGCGGCGCTTCAGGCCGACCGAGAGGGGGGGGGGGGTGGAAATTGTAGGGCACTGACTGCAATCCTGACCTAATTCAGTCTGACTGCGGTGAGCGGCGCATCCATGCAGCTAAAGGGCGCAAGCGCCCAAGCGCCCTGCTGAGCAATACTAGTGCACCTCGGAAGCAATGCGGATAGAACTCGGCGCGTACAAACAGTACTGTTGCACAGGGCAATATGGTACACAAAGGGCCCGTCCCTCTGCGTTCTTCCTCCCTCTCCCTTCCACACTTTTTGCCGCATCTTTCTCTTTTACCTGAAAGTACAAGAGAAGTAGCTCACAGCAGCTGTGCCACTATTCCAGTCGGCGGATGCCTTCCTCCCCCCCCCCCTCACCTTCCACCTCGCCTCTCTCTCTCACTCTCTCTCTCCCTCACACACCCTTGCCCCTCACTCTCTCGCACCTAGAGTGCCAGCCTGGGTGCCGTGTTCTCCTCCGGTACAATCCCCTTTTTGTCCTGGCCCCAATACAAGACGTTTTTACCTGGCCGGGTCAACCTTTGTGTTGGCGCTGATGGCAGCCCTGCACGTCTTGTTAGCGAGGTGTACCCACCCCCAAGACAGCGCAAGCTCGCCACGCCACTCCCCCCGCCCCGGACACCCATAAGCCATAAACCACGTCCAAGGCCCAAGCCGAGGCCATGGCCGAGGTCACTGGCACTAACGAGACCAAGCGCATGGCGCGCACAGGTGTGACTGGTGGGGAAAATGGCAACCCGGCATGATTGGAAAGGAGGTATTTTCCCGATCACGCCACACGCTACAGAAGAAAATACGGCGTGGCCCATTCGGCGCCGTTTTCAGTAGTAAATACTGCACCGTATGCAGGCCTGCGGGCGGGTTGCCTATTCGATAGGGGTCATACGGCACCGTGGTAAGAGGTGGCAAACCCGCCCGCACTCCTGTATGCGGTTCAGTACGTACTACAACTGAAAACGGCGCCGATGGGCAGCCTACAGAGCAAATCGCAAAACGGAAACAAAACTGAGTGCTTGCAATTTGAAGACAACGATTACGTAGGAACATTGACAGCTCTAGGTGGGAGGAAGGAAGCTGAGGCGGGTGGACCTCCTTTCTATGTTCCTCCCATTTTATGGTGAATTCCCGCGCTAAGATTAAGTGGTTTTAGCTGGCCGCCTCCATCAACTTAATCAACTTGACCGAAATAACGAGGCGATAAGAACAGCAGCCTGCCGACCGGCAGCGGGGCTGTCGGGTCGGGGTGCGGCAACCCGCCGCCATGATGGAGGCGGCGGCAGTGCTGCCAACAGCAGGACCCGAGCCCCGGGACCAGCGCTGTCGGGGTGCCGAAGCAAGTGCCTCATGTCGGCCGGGGTGCGCACAGCACGGCCCCGCCTGGCCCCGCCGCGGGGTACCCGCGGCTGCCGACCGGGGAAACCCGCGAAAGCACCCGGGCAGCGGGGGCTGCCCACCCAGACCGAGCCCCGCCGCGGTTGGCAGCGGGCTTTTCGAACGACATGGCAGCCATTGCTGGGCCACTGCGTTTGTAAACAATAAGTACGATCCGAAGGGCGCACGGACAAAATCACCCCCTTTAAGCACCACTCTGCAGGACGCCTGGCCGTCTCGGGGGTACTTGAACACGCGACCTCGCACCCGGACACCCGCGCTTCCCCGGCGGAGACCTGCAGGGCCCATCGCGGAGGTGCGAGCCGGCCGGCGTCCCGCAGCGTGCTCCAGCCGGCAGCCGCCGCCGCCCAAGCGCGCGCCGTCGGAAACCGACGAGGAAAAATGTTCAGCGCCTGTAAGCTGGCGCGTCCAAAATCCCCGAGTTCAAGGGTCTCTCCTGCGATGCCAGGAACTTGGTCCGTCCCCGAGAGCGCAGCCGGCGCGCGTCCCCGGCGCGGCGCCCGCACGGGCACATGGCCGCCGGCCCGTCCTCACAACACAAACACTCTTCTCACTTAAAACGTGAAACTTACCGTTTTCCTTCACACGGATTTCGGAGCCGCTGTCCTGCTCCTCGGTGGTTGGCGTTGAGGCTGCGCTCTTCTGTGTGTCCGCCATGGTGAGAAGGACTGGTGCCACCCTGATGTAGTTCGAAAGGAGTCCAAAGCGTCGTCACGACCTCTTCATGCGTTTCTTACTGCACTCCGTTGCACACTGTGTAGCCCGGGCCGGGCCCGGCCCCGGCGGCCCGGCGCTGCAGCCGCCCGCCCGCCTAGACCACCGAACCTTCCTCCCCCTCCCCTCCCCGCTCCCGGACGACCCGCCTCCCCGCCCTTCCCCTCCCCGCGTGCCGACCCTGCCCAGCCCAGCGCGACCAGCGCGACCCTTGGGCCTGCTCATAGAGGAACCTTTTTCGTCGGTCTGCCTGCCTGCTGGTGCGTCCGATTGCCCACCTAACCTACCCCGAACTTCGCGTCGCGTCCGTGGTCGGATCCGACTCCGGGTTCCGAAGGTCCGGGAGGGCCTGGCTGCTCCCTGCTCCCGATCCCGCGTGCTCTGGGATGATGATGGCTTTTGAGCGAAACTAAGAGATTTCTCCGCAACGCCGGAAAGAAGCGCCGCGCCGTTAGAAACATTATGAAGTCCCGCCCGTACTTATCGCGGTGCTTCCCCGTGCCGGGCCCGGACCTTCCAGACAACACGCCACTTGCACGTGCGCGTACGCGTCGGGCAGCAGGCCGAGTACGTAGCCGCAACCCTTCACTTAC